AAAACTATCCGTAAACCAATACAAACTCGCAAACCTCAACAACCTCTCCTCCGTAAACGGCTGGTCCGGACAAGCGTCGTATTTCGAATGTTTGGAGTGTCAGAATCAGCCACAGCCGGCGTTATGCGGGAGGAGGGGGTCGGGCGGTTGGGATTGTTGGGTGGAAGAGGGGGAGGGGGTGGAGCCGGTGGGTTTGCCGAGGAGGAGACGGAAGTTGAGGTGGATGACTACGCTTCATCATCAGCTTCCCTACCATCTAGAGATTCTCCGAGGGGAGGGGGAGAAAAGTACACACGTTTACACTCTTCATGATACACCCCCAAAGCATTCGTCACAAAACTCCCAATATCCCCTCCCTGCGCTGCATACCCGCGACCAAAGCCCAATCCGGTCATGAGGTTGTTCAACACAAACGCGATATCAGCGTCTCGGGCGTGTATTGTTTCTTGACAAGATCCAAAATCCCATAAAATTCCATAAAACTCCCCGGCCAGCCGTGGCTCAGAATGATCGGGATCGCATCCTTCTTCTTGGAGAAGAGGGCTGCAAAGTGGATCTTGAGCTCTTTGCCGTCGCTCGTTTTGGGGGTGGCGAGGTATTGCGGGTGGGAGTTGATGTAGGACTCTTGTTTTCGCCTTTTTTTTCCCCAATAAACATCAGCTTTGAGCTCTTACTGTGATATGGGAGAAGAAGGCGAAGAGCGAAGAAGGGAGATGGGATAACGCACCAATCAAAAGTCCAACCAAGCATCCCGCAACTGCACCAGACGGGCGGTCGTCATACCAAAACTTGTTTTCCCTATCCGCATTGACACTCTCATAAGTCTTGCGCGGGATACGAGAGAGACGGAGGAGGGTGCGGAGGTCGTCGATGGAGGTGGAGGGGATGGAGACTTTGGAATGGCTCGATGGGGATGGTGGGGGTGGTGGGGAAGGTGGAGTAGGCCATGGTTTGGTGTTGTCTTTCTTGGGGGGTGGAGGGGATGGGGAGAGAGAGAGAGAGAGAGAGGGGGGGGGGAGAGATGATGTGGGGAGGGATGTCAGAGTGACGTGCCAGCGCTACGGAGCTTCAGCCTCAGGGTCGTTCACATCGTTTAGCAACAAACGAGAAAGAAGCTCGGCTGCCCGTCCACTGCACTCGGCCATTGGCCATCCTACATATCTCGTCCTCTGCCTTTCCGATCTTCCATTTGAAATTTTGAATGCTGTGAAGAAGATGTCAGTGGCACAAAGATCTTTGAGAGGCTCAGGTACGAGAACGCGTGGAGATCTGATAGAGGTGATGCTATGTAACTCCGAGTCTCGCTAAATTACTTTGACATCGTCGGGAGGTTGCGGCATTCGGATCTCGATATGTACGCCCTTGTTTACTCCACGGCCCACCTCGTACATGGGCACAAACCCCCCCCCCCCCCCCTCTAGAAATAATCAGACTCTGGCCAAATCACCCCACGTTTTTCATAACATATACTGATTTTGCCATTCACAAGCCCCGCCAAGAAACAAGCTGCGAACACACATGTCTGAAAGCGCAAACACCCCGAGTACCCGCTCCCCTCTTTCTACGGCTCTTTTGGTGGCGCCGTCACCAGCCGAGTACTCCAAGACAAAAGACCGCTTAAGCAAATCGGAGCGCTCATGCGATGAGAATAGTGATATCGTGAGTATCACCGTCGTCTGCATCGTAAGAACAAGCGTGCTGATTGGAGGTTTTTTTTTACAGAAATCCCACCCACACGCAAGCCTGACGGGGCTCTTTGAGGGCTTGTATCAGCACCAGTAATTTCGAGAGCCCTCAGCTATTCGAAGGAGCTTTTAATAGTGGCTACGTGAGTCTTCAACGCGACCTTGTTGCATATGGGCTTACCAATTTGGTAGATTTGTCATTGAACCCCCGTCTTCTCTTCCCGACGAATCGTCATCCCCTCCCTCCCTCCCCACACGTCCCAGCCCAGCACGAATCCACCGTCCACCACCTCCCTCTTACGAACACTCTTGGCTGCTCTGGCATTTCTTCCAGTAGCACCCTCCTCACCGACCCTCCCCCTCCGACGACGACGACGATGTTTGTCCGGGGGGAAGAAGAATTCAACACTAGAAGTCTTCTACAAATGCCCACCTGCATACGGTAGATGATATCGAACTTGGGTATCAGCAGTATATTTTGATTGCCCCGCCTTCGTCTTCCTTTTTCAGGTCGGAAGGGGAAGGGGAAGAAGAACAAGAGGATGGTGGATGGGGTGAGAGCGCCGAGGTGGGTGGGGTTTTTGGCGGTGGGGGTGTTTTTGGGGGCTGCTGTGGCGGGGGTGTTGATGGGGGGTGTTTTATCATGATGGGAAGGGGAGTGTCAAGAGCTGAGGAGTAGAGTGGGAGGAAGATATATGTGGGGGAGATGTACCGTTACGAGTATGGTCGTGAGGCATGTGACCCTGCATTACTCATACACCCCGAAGCCTAAGCTATCGGAAAGGCTGGAAGAAATAATTATTATACATCGGTACAGATAGTATCTACATCCAAGGATACACAATCCGAGTACGCGAAGAAAGAGGACGCGACCATAACAAACATCTCACTTTGTCGTGTACTTGTCCCAGTTCGCCCCGAGATAGTCTTCCACGTCTTGCCAGAGCTCTGCCGGCTTTTCGAGCGCCGCAAAATGTCCTCCCTGGACTCATACGTCAGCGATCTTTCAAGATGATCAAAATCAAAATGGATGGAAGGGACGTACCGAATCATGTTCCCTGGACCAGACAATGTTGCTACGCTTCTTGGCAGCTTCGATGGAAATGGGCGAAATTTCTTTGGGAAAGTTGGAAAAGCCGGTGGGACAGGATTGGTATTCGGTGGAAGTCTTTGTAGCGGGGTCGTTTCGCCTTACACCCAAACCCTATACGATAAAGATCAGCTTTGTTGCGTCGAGGGGCAAATGAGGAGACTCACATAACGGTAAGTGTAAAGCGATGTAGTGAAGCAGTCCGTAAACCAATACAGGCTGATCAAAGTCAAGATCGTCTGCGTGCTGGGCGACTGATCCGTCCATGCGAGGTACTTTTCGCCGATCCAAGCGAGGAGCGAGATGGGGTTGGAGCCGACGACGAGGCCGATGGTGGAAGGGCGGGTGGAGTGTTCGAGGGCGTATGCGTATTTCTGGAAGATTTCGATCATGTCGTCCGGGGAGGGAGGAGGGGAGGAGGAGGTGGGTTGGATATTGTAAAAGTTTAGGTGCATCACTAGAACCAGAATCAGATGAGGACGTTGGAAAGTCAACGGGGAAGGGGTGAAACGCACGTTTACAAGCGTCGTATGTTGCGCCGAGCTCGTTTGTGACCAGAGCCCCGATATCGCCGCCTTGAGCCACGTAGCCACCATCGAAACCCAGGCCGACCATCAGTGAGTGAAAGAGGTATCCGACGTCAATGACGCTGAACTCGCGATCTGTGGGCGGAGGGGAGGAGAAGAGCCATCCGGGGAGGGAGGGGACGACGAGGTGGTATCTGCAGCTCATGATCTAGTGCTCAAAACATAACAATGGGAAATACAGGAACTTACGGAAGCTCAGAAGGCGCATACTGCTTGCTAACCAGTTCCAAGAGAGGAATGAATTCGAAGAAACATCCGGGCCAACCGTGGCTCAGGATGACAGGGATAGCGTCCTTCTTCTCAGATAATAAGCCTGTGAAATGTAGAGAGTAGTCGAGACCGTCCTTGTTTTTGATCTTGGCTTTGTAAGCTGGGAAAGCGTTGATGCGTTCTTCCTGCTTGCGCCTGTCGCCTATCGTCAGAGCAAGATTGCACATACATCGTGGGACGTTACCAGTCAAATTTCAGCCATTCGTCCTTGGTGTCAATGAGCCATTTCCTGGTAACGCCAAAGTCGTTCTCATCGGCAGAAACGTTCTCGTAGCTCTGTTTGGCGATACGGGAGGCTTTGATGGCGTCTTGGAGCTCGCGCAGCTCTGTGTCGGGGACGTGCAAGGTGAAAGGCTCTATGGGGATGGTGGGGTTGTGCGGGAGAGGGCCATGGTCGATGGGTCGTCGCTTTGTCAGAGGAGATGTGATGTAGAAGAGAATTGGTAAGCTCCAGTCCATAGACGTCATGTGACACCCCGACCGCGTGGCTTTTCCTCGGACGTCCGAGCTGGGCTTGAGTGTGGTGAAGTCTGCTCCTCTTCTTTACGATTGTGGTCACATGTGGTCACAGCATGGCGATACACATACATCTATACATATCAAAGCATCTAGGTACAACTGGCAAAAAAAGATATAACAAGCAAGCATAGCAAGAAAGCGATAAACACTAGTCGATACAAGACGATACAGCTATGAATACAAGCCAAGACGTTAAGCGATAACACAACCAACCCTCTCATCATACAGCCCGTCGCTCTCACTCCCCCTCATCTTCATCCTAGATACACTCTCCTTCGCACGCGCGTTAGGTATCGGTCTCGCCCCGGCACTTTCTCCATCTCCAGCACCAGCACCAGCACCAACATCCTTCATCTTCCGCTCCTCCACCTCCGCAACCCTCTCAACCCTCTCAGCCTCCTTCCTCACCTCCCTCCACCCCTTCGGCGCCGCCACCCTCCTCCAACTCCAAAACGTCTTCAACACCACCTTCTCATCCGCCATCTCATCCCCATCCCCGTGCCCGGTGGGGTCGTAGCCAAAGGGCACGGCTTGCCATCCGGGCCAGCCTTGGCGGGGGCGCGTACGGGGGGAGAGGGGGGCGTAGGCTTGGGATGTTATGGAGGGGCAGTCGATTAGGGATAGGCGGCGGAGGTGTGAGGGGGAGGAAGAGGAAGAGGAGGGGGAGGGGGAGGGGATGTGGCGGTTGAATGCGCGCATGACGGTGTTTCCGACCGAGGTGTTCTACAATGCATGCGTCAGCTACTTTCCCTTCACGAGAAAAGTCATAACTCACGTCAACGTCCAAAACACGCAGCTTTTTACACCGGTGGATGAGATCGACAACAGCTTCCGAAGTCACATCTCCATACCCAATATTCAGCTCCTCCAACTCCATCCCCACCACCTCCCCCTCCCCCTCCCCCTCCCCATCCTCATACGCATACTCCCCCGGCGTCATCACCTTCAACACCAAATCACAAACCCCCGACATCCCCGCCGTATCCTCCAAATCCACCTTCCTCAATTTGGGCATACTCTTCAACATCTCCGCCAGGGCGTGTCCATCGTCATCGTCGTCGGGGTCGTAGAAGCGGTGGATACGCGCGAGTTGGAGGATTTGGAGGTTGGGGAGGAGGTGAGTGAGGTGGGTGAAGATGGACGGGGTGAGCGGGGTGGAGGAGAGGTTGAGGTGGGTGAGGGAGGAGAGGGCGGTGGGGTTGGAGGAGAGGAGGGGGGCGAAGGTGTTTTCGGAGAGGCCGGAGCAGTTTTGAAGGTCTAATACTTCGAGACCGGGCAGGACGCCAGAGTCGGTGAGGATGGTCCAGATGTCCTCTGGGAACATTCCGTTTACGCCCGCCATACGCAGTTTCCGCAGGCGAGAAGAATGGTGCGATGAGTGGGCGAAAGCATGGGCAATGTCGGGGAGGAGGATGTTGGAGCAGTAAGAAACGTCGAGCTCTTCAAGCAAAGGAGCGTTGGACAAGATCGATATGAGCGTCTCAACCGTGACATGAGGCACGCTCCGCAAACAGAGCCGGCGCAAACGACCCGACCGAGCAACAAGCAAACATATATCCCTCGACGAAATACCCAAACACCCCTGCAGGTCCATCGTCTCGAGCCCGAGCTCCAAGCCATCTGGTGAGAGCCCGCCGAGCGCAGAGAGGATGGTGTACCCGCCGACTTTGTCCATACCGCGGAGGGAGAGGTGGGTGATGAAGGAGGAAGAGTGGCGGAGGATGCGGAAAAGGGTGGAGGGGTGGAGGAGGTGGGCGAAGGAGGAGAGGGTTAGGTGGGGCCAGAGTTGGCCGTCGAAGCAGAGGGATTCCCATGATTTGGAGACCTACACCTTCTGTTAGGGCGATCGAGCAGTGAAAAGGAAGAAAGACTTGCAACACTGAGACGGATGAGCTCTTTCCTCCCCCTCAATTCTCCCGCCATCTTCGTCCTCAAACTCTCCGGCCACCCTTCCATCACCCCCCGCATCACCATCACCCGTATCTCATGCGGCAGCTGTTCAAACGTCAAAGATACAGGTTTGTCTTTTGGTTTCGTCTCACCCGTCGTGAACGGGGTACAATGGGCAGGAAGGGGCAGGTTGTGATGTCGGTTATGGATCCCCATAGGGGGATTGAGCCCGAGAGGGGGAGGTAGAGGTACAGCTCTTCCTTTTCCTTTCCTATCCACCTTGACCATCCACTCTTCATCCCCCGCTCCTGGCGATTGCGCGTCGTCGCCGGTCGGCCCCCGCTTACAAAAGTCGAATCGCTGGACTGTGACTTGCTCGCCGCTCGGTCCTGCACTCGGAAGCATCGGCGGTGGAGACCAAGGCCTGTAGCCCCCTGCCACAGGCACAGGGTGAGAAGGCGCGTGGTTGGAATTGTCTTGTGTCTGGGGAGGCGGGGGCGGAGGAGCGTCGGCGAAAGGCGATTGCGACGAGTACGAAGCTTTGCGAGGACGCGAGAAGGAGATGAGGGATTGGAACTTTTCGCGTTTGGGATGGGGATGGGGATGGGGAGGGGTGGATTGGCTGGTGGCGGAGATGGAAGCGATGGAGGGTGATTGCGAGCTGGGTCCGAAGGTAGACTGCTGAGGTCCAGAAGAGCTGAACGACTTGAAAGACGAGCGGCTTCGGGGGAGCTTGTCAAGGGCGGCCTTCTGGAACCAGGATGATCGGCGTTCGGAGGCGGAGGCGGGCTTGTCTGTGAGTGCTGGAGTGGAGGTGGGGAGAGAGGGCGGCTCTGTGGGTGGGTCGCTGGGAACATGGGAGAAGTAAGGCTCGTCGGGGGGAGACGTAGAAGAGGCATTTGGAAGGGGATAGTGAAAGCCTGTCGATTCCTCCGTCGGGCTTTCGACAAAAGGCATGTTTGCCCTCTCTTGCTCTTGCTGGAGAGATTGTCAGCACTGGTCGGACAGTTTACGAAGAAGCTTACATGGGACGGACCAGCCTCATCAGCACCAAACGCCCACCCAGAAAGCCCACTCCATCCGGTCCCCCTACCCCTCTCGATCACAGCGGCCTCCCCCAGCAAAGCCCCAAACTCATAACTGCTCGCCCTCCTCTTGAGCGTATACATCCCCAGCGATCCTTGATCCTTCCCCGTTTGTTTCGCCTCATCCCGGAACAAATCGTGACCCGCCCCGGCAAAAGACAACCTGCTAAGAATAGACGGCGTCTCTGGTGTCTGGACCTTGGGGTAGGAAGAGGAAGAGGAGGTGCTGAGGATGGTGTCGGAGCGGTGTCTTGTGAGAGGGGGGGTGGGGGGGATGGGGGAGGGGAGGGTCATGGCGGGAGTATGTGAACTGGGATTTGAGAGGGCGTTGAGCGGACGTCAGAGGAAGCGTAGTGTCGTAGCGGGCTGTATTCAGGAATACAGAGTAGCAGAGAGATGCGCGTGGTCGGTCGTAGGCTCGCGGCACAGAGCACAACCAACAACTCGGACATGCATATGCATCAGGGAAATGGTCGATGGCCGCGCTCCTTACGTAAATCACATGTATCCGTGCTATGATGGATAGTAGAAGCCGTACTATAAAACTATGCATATGCAGATGTGAGATATGTACAATGATCATGGGGAGTGCTCGTACTATACTCTCCTTAAGCTCCCCCAGCCTGCTGCCCCGCCCCAGCCGCCTGCTCGCCCTGCTTCCGCATCTGAAACTCCTTCGCCCACTGCTCCCTCTCCCAATCATCATACTCTTCTTTGTTGGCGCCCCACCTCTCCTGCACGTCTCTGACATCGCCGCCAGCGCGGCCGAGGAGTTTGGCGGAAGACATGGCGCTGCCAAAGAGGGCTTGGGCGTTGGCGGCCGAGGTGCCGTCGCCGTCGAGGGAGTTGGAGGGGATGAAGATGTAGCCTGTCATTTTGTCGATGGTGCGGACAATGTTGAGCATGGATTCTTTATCCTACAAAAGCGGGGTCGGCGGTCAGAAGGTGGGATGAAAAAGTGGGGAAAAGGGGACGTACTTCGACGGCTAATGTCTGGAAGCCGACTAGCGAAAAGCCTTCGACGAGCTCGACCATGGCTTTATTCAGCTTGCTGTACTTTGCTGTTCGCGGATCCGAGTCTAGACTTCCTAGTAGGTATGACAGATCTTGCACTTCGGTGTAATAACTCAGGTCGAACGCTGACGCCACAAGTCAGTCAGCGCCGCGCAAGGCGAGATAGGAGGCACGCACAAAGTTCGCCGTACGTCGATAGTAGGTCAATCTTGCTCAATACGTTGAGATGGGGCATTTCCATCTGCAGCATGGCTCGCAAAGCCAGGAGGGTAACAGAGATGAATTTGGAAGCGTCGGTGATGTAGTGCGAGTCGCTGAGATGTACCGCCGCCAACTATCAAAACCATCAGCTCTTCCCTCCTCTCGTCTGTGATGGGGGGGGGGAGGGAAGGGATACGCACTCTATAATCCATCTTGACCAACTTGTCCACTACATTCTTCAAACTATCATGGTTCGTCCACAACTCTGCCTGTCCCGGCGTATCAAACACCACATACCCATTCCCTCCCTCCTCCCTTAGCACCTCATCCAGCCTCTCGACCAACCAGTCGACATTCGCTTCGAGGTATTCTATGCAGTAGAGCATGGCGCCGTTGGGGCCGAGGGAGAATTCGGACATGACAGAGTCGAGGGTGATGAGGTCGGTGATGTTTATGGAGCAGGGGTAGGGGGGGGAGGGGATGGCGGGGTCGAGGTTGATGATATGGACTGGGCGGCCGAGGGCTGAGAGGAACTGCGGACGTATTAGCATGTGCTTGGGTGAGATGCAGGGGAAGGGGGGGTACTTGATGGAGACCGTTGCAGTAGGTGGATTTGCCAGCGCCGGGGGGGCCGGTGACGAGCTGGCCGAACGCTGAGGCGTGCTCGATGGGGGCTTCGAGTTCTGTGTCGCTCATTGTGTTGATGGCCGAGTGGTGCGTGGACGGCGGAAGATGAGCAGGAGGCTTGCTCATGGGATTGAAAAAGTGGAGGTTCCTTCCGGGCCGCTTATCAGAATTGCGCCATGTGGCCGAAATTCAACGCGTCCGTTTGGGTGTGTAATGTTTCAGGTCGCAGCTACTCGGCAAGAGCAAAGCATTACATATCAAGACCATATCATAGAGCACACATCTACTCCCAAACAGCAACCATCCTGACTTCAATACTCTCCCTCGGCCCCACCAACCCCTCCTCAACCCCCTCCGAATCATCCATCTCCGCCGCCACATGCCCCGCATACAACGCACCCCCATCCGAGCCTTGTAAACTGTCATAGCATTTCAAGACGACGATCTCGTGGGGTGTCATGTGCCGGAGGTAACACCATTTCTGGGAGGGGGCGTAGTGGATCTGGATACCGGTGCCGAATTGGGATTCTTGTTTGGCGGTGTCGGAGGGGGAGAGGGTGGGGAAGTGGAGCATGCAGAGGGGGGAGCTGGTCACGGGGCCTGATTGAATGTTCAGTGATGGGGGGGGGGCAAGATGGAGGAGGGGGAGACTTGCCTTTGAGAGGCCGCCAGATGTTGATGATCATACTCCGCTTGAACGTTGTAGGATCTTGCTTCGTAGCCATCCGTACAACATTCGGCGCCCATATCTACACCCCTCATCAGCACAGAACACAGCCATTACGGGGGGAAACATACTTCATCTTGATCCACATGAGCATGACTCGCAGGGGGCTGTATGATACTAGTCGGTAAGAAACCTTCTTCGGGCCCTTTTTGTCGGTCGACGATGGTGGATTGTTTACGGTCGGATTTGCGGACGGTGGAATTCCATTGGTAGACTTGTGTACAGTTGAGATAGCTTCGCATCAATCTGATCATATGTCAGTCTCTAGCAAAAAGGAAAGTGGAAGATGGCCGTAACTCGCAAGTCTCCTCCCGATACCTCTCAGCGCCCTCAAGACTCCCAATCTCCCCCACAAACCGACTTTCATGCCCCGCAACAGCCCACCCTCTCTCGTGCACTTGGTCATAAACCGCCCTTGGACCCTCGACCATCTCGTGGCGGATATCGTGTAGCTGGATGTCGATCGTCTCTTGGGGGCGAGGGTTCTCGGGCAGGCCGGGGGTGTAGATCAGGAAGGAGGAGGGGTCGAGGGAGGGGGGGAGGCGGGCGTTGGGGATGCCGAAGCGGGCTGTAGCTTTTCGCGTGGGGGGGTCGATGGAGGGCATGGTGGAGGATGTACTATGTACGGTGGACGAGTGGGGTTCATAAAAGGAGTGCGAGATATTTGAACGAGATATGATATGGGAAAAGATGGACGTGGACCGATAACGAAGGTGTCGGGTTTGTCCGAGAAAACACCTCCGGATGGGTTCGGGCAACCGATCAGCAATGATGCGATTGCGATGGGCTTCCGTCACGGCGTTACGCCGTCCCAGAAAGTATTGATAGCCTGCTCTCCTGTCTACTTATACACGATATATATGGAGATGCATGTATACAGCCAAGAGTACATCGGAAAGTCTCATAATCTTCTTTGCGGAGGGATGGCTGTAAACACGAGAGAAGAGGCAATGAGTCGATTCGAGAGATAGGACGGAAAAGTATCCACTCACTAGGCTCAGGCTGTAAAGCGATGGTATGTGAAACAGAATGGACGTCGTCCGATGCGGTGTCGGGTCTATCCGAGAAGATCGATAGCCCGCCCTCGTATCTACTTCTACACGATATACATAGAACACACTGATATAAGTTTACATACACCATAGAATCTCACAATTTTGGTTTCGGAGGTATGGCTGAGCACGCAAGTGAAAAGGGCAATGATCAGCTGGTCGATTCCAGAGACGAAACACAAAAAAAAGAATCTACTCACTAGGTTGAGGCCCGACAGTACCGGTCTCTATCCCTAAACGCACTTGCTTTGAATGAACGTACCACTGCACAAAATCGCTTCGAGCATCGCGCCATGCGAGCATTTCGGGACGCGAGCCAGGTAATGGAGATCCTACGCATACCTTGTCAGACAATGCCTCCAGATGATATGATTCAGATGTGTGCTGTAACGCTCACCAATGTTGACACATCCATCTACCGCACACGACTCTTCTTTCTTTGGTAGCCAGAATATCCGCTCGCCTGTGTCGCCGTCGAATGCCGCTAGACCATCGTAAAAGTAGGAGACAAGGATGTTGGGTAGCGGAGGATGTGAGGGAAGAGCGCGCCAATGTGACTGGATCACATTAGTTGATTGATGTAACGAATGATAAAAAGACGTACCGTTTTCTTGTCCTCCTGCCAATGGGCATAGAGCCACGTATAACTCCCCCTGATCCTCTCGCCGCCATCTACGCCACCGACACTTCCGTCCCACTCATTCTCAGGCTCCAATATCTCTCGCCAAACGCCTCCTATCTTTGTAAGATACCGCTTCCACTTTTGCTTTCCCACCACTGCCGGCGCATGGTTGTCTTCGGCGGGTATGGCGTTGGCAAAGTACCAGCTGCAGAAAGACGAGTTGAACCATACTTTGTAGTCGGGAGGGGTGTAGCCTTGGTTGACGGTGATAGAGAAGGACTTGGCTTTGTCGGTGAAGGAAGAGAGGGGTGGGGGTTCGTTGAGGGGGAGAGCGCTGGAGAGATGGCGGATTGTGGAAAGGGGCAGGGTTGGGGGGTTGTTGTTTTTTGGACGGAGGGAGTCGGGGTGAGTGAGGATGCCGGCGGGAGAGAATGATCTGACGAAAGGAGCAGGGGCCATAGCGTCGAACGATAAGATGTTGATTTCCGGATTACCGACGACGAAATGCGAGTACTCGGCTTCGCCTACGCCACCGTCAGAGGACGCAACACGAGTCTTGGGATCACTCACCCATCGATGGGCCGGGCAGGGGCATGTTGTCCCAAGTGTCGAACGACTTGAAGTGCGGAAAGCTGAGAAGGCGGTCTTCTGTCGTTTCAGAGTTGCGAAAGAAGGTCATGTGGCCGCGCATGAAGATGAGTCGGCCGCCCCCGTTATCGGATGGTTCGGTGGGCATGAGGACGTCGAATGTGTCGTCGAGAGCGAGGTCGTAAGGGACTGTCGCGTGTGTCAGCTCTCTATTTCTAGCACCGGGATGTGACATGATGTCGTACAGGTTCGAGAGAAGCTATCGCAAGAATTGTGTCAGCGATCGTCCCCAGTCCAGCATGTACTCACTCTCCGACAAAGATATCACTATCGCAATATCCCCACCATCTGGTACGAGGATTCAAGTATTTTCGAAACACCCACCCTCTCAATATTGGATATACCGATTGTGGCGTCTATGACATTGTGTCAGCACACTTTGACCAGCAAAGAGGAAATATGACGTACTGAGAGATGATCCAAGGTGATCATGTCGTCCAGCATGAGTCTTCTTTGACTTCTCGAACAGCCGCGTTTCCATCGAGCGCAAAAGTAGTCGCGGTGGGCAGCCCAGACTATACGCATGCTCAGTATGGCAGCGTATCACTTGGGAGGGATTCTTGATGTATGAGAACGTCGACTTACATTTCTTGTGGGATAGACACACTTGCTAGAATCGGCGAGAAATTCAATCCTCAGACGTCAGCATCGACCCGAAGCGCAAATCGTAAGATCACTACGACTCACCTTGACGTTCGGTATATCACTCAAGTCACTACATCCCCCTCTCTGCACGAACAAAACCTCCAGCTTCCCCTTTTGTCGTTTTATGCTTTGCCAGAAGTACGGCGCCATGGACGGAAACTTGTCGCCTTTGTAGAACATGACGAGAGTGACGAGAGGGAATGGATCGGCATTGTCGTTGGTGAATAGCGAAGACTGGAGGTTGTGAGGTAAGATGGATCCGCCGGTGTACCAGAAATGGAGGGCGATGAAGGATAAGATGGCGGGAGGGAGGAGGCGAAAAGCGCGACGAGGCGTTAGAAGAGCGACCATATATGAGGGAGTTGTCTGTGGCGGGTATGGATTCAGCTGATGCTGTTGGGAGTATAGAGGTAGATACTGTGGTAAAAGAGCGAACCGCTCATGGGTACATACGGGTAGTGACTTGGGAGAGAAACGCGGTTGTTCCTTGATCGCCTAATGTCCCCGCCGATTGACGCGTATTAAAGTGGGGGGCGCGTTTCATAGTTTCGAATGTTGAATCACTCTTCAGCCGTGAACAGTCAGCTTTACAGTATGAATGGTCATGAGAGAGCGAAATCATATACAGCACTGCTATGTGTGAGCCTGATGCGCATGCGTGGCAGCACTCTTGTACGTGAACGTAGGTCTGCGCCGCCAGAGACCGTTGACAGACGAGTTTGCTAAAGCAGAAGGAAGCGTACATGGCCCATGAGGGGCCGGAGACTGATCTGTGAGAGATGTAAAAGGGATCCACAAGCCGTAAATATACACCAGAAGTGACTCACTGGATATCAAGACATTAGCAGTCCGGACGAAGTATATAGCTTGAGCAAGTGATGACGCGGAGACACCGGGATAACTCAACTCATCGATCCCCGCTCTCTGGAGACAGCGAAAAGGGTGGTAATCTGCATGCTTGGAGATGAAGTGATCATCTAGCTCTAAATCACGACTCGGCACATGTAGCTGGACCCCTTTGTTCAGCGCGCCGCAGACTACGGAGGAGAAGAACAGGCGAATCATGGGAGTCTTGTCGCATGTTCTCTTCTCCATGACCACGCTGGTCACCCCGATTCTTCCTCCGAAGAAATACTTATATATCCTAACCCCTCGAAAGACGCCCCCCCATAATCATGAAACCTGCCGACGCATTCACACTTCTCGGCGATCGACGTCGAATCGCCTGTCGTATTTCGAGCGAACTAGCTATATTCGGCAACGATGAAAGACGAGGGTATAGAAGACATGTCCAAGAAACATTATGACAACACTTGTCTCATGCAGTCGACGAGGAAGGGAGGTATCCCTGGCGAGGTGCCACTCTTGACGTTGTTGTTTGGCTCTCGGGGTTCCGAATGTGATCCGAGAGGTACACTTCCGCGAGGGAAAGTATCTGCACAAGCAGAATAACGGGGTAAATATAGTGCATGTTATTGACATAACAATGTTATTGACATAACATGATCTACTGACGAAGCCCCAACGATAATACGCAGCACGTCTGTAGCATGCGCCGATTGCACGCCGAGAAAAAGAACAAGAGCGGGAGCGCGCGGGACGCCTGTTGGATGTAGGCGCGACGAAAAGATTTTTCACCGAGCTAGGCGCGAGCCGGCGTACCGAACGAAAGTCACCCAATTCTCCCCTCTCATTCGCTTTCCCGCATCCCTCAAACATCCATCCACCCCTCTCTGCTGCCCGTGCCCATCCGTCCATCACCCCATATACACAGACAGCTACCGACACTCCACCCACCACGATGAGCGACGACAAGAAGGGCGAGGAGCGTGTGCTCGACCCCTCGGAGATACGGTGGAAGATGGCCGTCGCTTGTGACGTTTGCAGAAGGAGAAAAGTGCGTTTACTGTCGACTCCAAGTACACCTCTGACCATTTTTCAGGTACGATGTGATGGCGAGCGACCATGCTCTCGGTGCGCCAAGGCCAGCATAGAATGTACATTCTCTTTGCCGTAAGATACCCCATCCACTCCCATCGTCGCCTCGGTCTCACGTCCATCCTCTAGTAAACATGTCATCAAGAAGGCGACCGATGTTGGGTAAGCCTCTCGTCCTTACACTGTACCCTTGTGCTGATACTCTTTTACAGCGTCAAGCGCAAGGCACCGGGGTCACTCAGGGGCGACGAGTTCGATGGCAACAAACGACGCGCCACGTCCTCCGCCGAGCCAGCTCAGATGATGCCCGTCGCATCTACCTCCGCCATCCCCGCCACTGTTCCGAGGACACACATGCCCAACACCAGTGCCAGTATTCCACCCCGCCGAGTAGGTGACTTTTCACTTCCGATGTAGACTGCGCTAACAAACCGTGTCGCAGCCCACCGACGAGTCCCCCTCTCACAAACGGCACCTACTTCTCGTCGACAAAGACGACCAGCTCGTGTACTCTGGACCGTCCAGCGGCATGCCGATGTTCGATCAGATGGGTGTTTTGAAGACGGTCGAGATCTCGGAGGGCCAAGCGTCCAATGAAAATATTCCGCCGCCTCCCGGCTCTGCTCTCGGCTATGCGGGGGCTCATGGGGCGAGTAGGGATTATTTCGATCTGTGTGCTCAGAAGTGTCCGGTGGAGTCAATGCACCAGCTCATCAAGATACATTTCCAGTCTTGTAAGTAACCGTCTCGGATTCCCGATCTCGACTGATGGACCGCAGCCGCTTTTTTCCCGCTCCTCCACTTCCCATCTTTCTACTCTGTACGTCTCTTCATTATCGATCTTGGCGTGGCTGACCTCTCGTAGGAGTTTGTCGCCTGCACCCAACGCCGACTTCGATGTACCCCGCAATACGGCGCTCTTCTCATGAGCATCCTCGCCGTCACCGCCCGCCTGGTCGAGAGCGCCCGACCCTTCTTACACGAGAAGGATAGGCAGGGAGAATCGTTCTACGAGGTTGCGCAGGACTTGTTAAAGATTAGCACGAACAAGTTGGACATCAGGCATATCTTGGCGCTCTATCGTAAGTCATTTTGGAAAGGGGACGAGGTCGGTCACTGACAAGGGTATATAGATCTTGCGATATTTGCAGAGTGTAAAAAGTCGTCAGCTGGTGAGTTTCACTTCTTCTGTTGGCTGCACATTTGCTTATACATCTACAGGGGAGGCATCCAGCTTCGTTTCCGAGGCCATCGGCTTGGGGTTCACCACTGGGCTGCACCGCAATGCCTCAGAATTCCAGATGGATCCCGTCACTTCTCAGGTAAGACTACTTTCGCCTTTCGTATCCTCCTTGGCTCATGAACAACAATAGATTCGCACACGCCTCTTCTGGGCTCTCTACCGGATCAACATCTCCCTCGCCTACTCGCAAGGCCGCCCATCTCTCATTCTCTTGTCCGACTGTGAGTTTCATCCTTCTCGCGCCCTATATTCCACATACTGATGGTATTTCAGGCTCGGTCGACTTCCCTGCTGTCATCGACAACGAGTATATCACCACGTCGGCCATGGGTCCTCAGCCCGACGATCGTCCGCCGGTTATTATGGCGGGGGCTGTAAAAACTCTAGAGACATTTATGGTTTTGGAGCAGGTGCGTCGCCTTTCTGTTAGTCCGAAGACCCAAAGCTGATAAGACTGAAGGTGCTGTCGATCATCAATGCGCCGGCGAATCCGATCTCCCAGAGGTACTCGGTGGATTCAGCGGACAGTCGTCAAGGTGATAGGTTCCAGAGAGCAGAGACCCGTCTACAAGAGGTAAGGCATTCGTCTTCTTTACAGTTGGTGGTATGACTAACGACGATTAGATCGAGCGTTCCCTTCCTCCCTACCTACGCGAAGAAAGAGTACCCCCCAACAACGAAATTAGCGTCCACTACATCGTCTCCAGCCGCATCCGCTCCAGCCTCCTCTTCGTTCGCATCCTCATGGCCCGCCAAGCCCTTGTCGAAGAGTTCGAATCATCCTCCCACACGGGCTCGCCTGCTCCCACCGACTCTACCATCACTGCCTGTCGGCTTTCCATCGACTGCATCTCCATGTACACACGGCTCAAGCACGTCGACTACCTCCAGTACAGCGGGTTCTACTCTGTCTCGCACATCACTGCGGCAGCGCATACGCTTATCGCCTGTATGGTCCGAAGCACGCAGCTCGCCCAGGCGCATCGACAAGAGTTGATGTCGGCTATCGATCTTCTGCGGTTGCTGTCGAGGCGATTCACGTGCTCGGAACCGGCTGCTGTACTTCTTCTCGACCTCACGAAGAGTCTCGATCTCAACAATAGGCAAGGAGGGTCGTCGTCAGACAGAGAGGCGGTGGCGATTAGAGTACTTGCGAGGAAAATGGCAGTCTCCCCTTCGGCAGCGGCGCCCATCCCTCTTCCGCCCATATCCCGATCTGCTTCCCCCTCTTCCCAACCTCCACCTCCTCCCGGCGCCTATCCTCCCCAAGCCCAGGCGAATTATCCCGGCCAAGCTTTCCATCCCAGCTCCATCCCCTCGTCGCGCATCGACCCTGCTCTTCAGTCTCAACCCGAATACGCCATCGCCCGCTCAACCGATAGCGATACCCGCAACATGCCCCCTCCCCGCCCTGCTCATTTCTCTCCCACCCAATCGCTCTTCAGTATTCAGTCGCCTTCGAATGTGTCCTCGGCGCGATACGAACCGCCTCCTCGATGGGGCGTGAATGGAAGTGGAGGGCTGGAGACGGAGCTGGTTGGTGAGCAGCAGCAGCAAGCAGGATCCTACGCGGTGAATGGGGAGTATATGGAGTATGATGGGAGCATGGGGTATGATGGACAAGGGGCGCCGATGAGTCAGCCGGGGAATGAGTGGCAGGGGAGTGCGCTGGCGGAGGGTTCAGGGCGTGAAGGCCAGGAGGGGCAGGACGCGGCGTTGCAAGCGCAGACGCAACAGATTGCCGAGTTTATGGTGTCGGGGATGCCGCAGATGGTGCCGACGAATGCGCCAGCGTCGGGTTCGGAATGGGCTGCCAACTTTTCCTTTTTGAATGATGGGCTGTTTGGTCCGCTTTAGAATTGTCTGAATAAGGTACAAGATTTGTTGTAATGTCGCTTTGTCATGCATCCTCGGATATACGGTACTTGTCAAATAATTGAGGAGGAGCGTCGGCCACCCGATACAGACAAAGGGGAGAAGGTCGGCGTCCCGAAATGATGGGGATATTTCGGAACACCTTGCCTTGCTTCAGTGGGATATATCTGTTGTACATCCAAACGCATCCTGGGCCAAATGATATAATAGAGAGTCTGCGCAATCTGGCTCGAAAGAATATTGTGGGACAAGTCCTGTGACACCTGAAAAGAACGGTGGCCGACTCTACGTTCCTCGGCGCCCCGAGCCCTGCCCTCGACGCTCATGCGTCCGCAAGTATCTACCCTTTTTCTTTTCACTGGGGATGAAGAGAGATACATGGAGATTGTAAAGCTCATTCCCGTAACGCAGTAAGGGTCTTATTAGCTGTTTCTCCCCACCAAGAAAACGGTGTCGGGGGCAGAATCGGCGGAATCAATCGCACTTGCTGTTCTTCCCAACGGGGCTCCTCCCCCGCGGGCCCCCTCACCGGTCCCAAGCCCGCTCCGCCTATCCTCCTGACTTCTCCCCCTACTAATCACGCTGGCCTTGAACTATCGTTCCTGCCTCCCCTACTAATCAGTAACATGTCCCTCCCCTTCCATCCCGAAGCCTGCTTTTTTTACCTCAAGAGCTCAACGACCAAGTTGCCGAGCACCCCATCTAATTACGCCAAGAACGGTGCGCGACGAATCACCAATGCGCAAGATGGTTTGTCTGAAGAGATGGAGAGGGGGAGTATCGTCAAGATTGACAAGGGGATGAATGGAAACGAGGGGATTGAAGCTAGCTTGGCGGTCGGGGTCAAAATGTGGTGGTAGATTTACTTGATTCATTGTCTTTTGTTTTGTACTCTGGTCTGGTTCGGGTGACTTATAACATGTATAGGTAGCATAGAATGAATAACATGCTAGAAGAAAAAGACTGGGGAGCAGCCTGAAGAAGAGCACCTCAAACACAACAGAACCAGAATCAAAAGTACCGTACTATGGAAAGTCCATGTCCTTGCTCCAATCCAACTCGAAACCATCTTCCTGCTCCTCCTTCTTCTCGGACCCCTCGGGCACATCCACATCCATGTTTGCCCACCCTCCCAACACCGGCGCACTGTACGCCTTGGCGAGCGCAGACTTTTTGCTTCCCGGAAGACCCTTGAATGCCCTCCCCTTCCTGGAAGGAGCAGCGGGCTGCTGAACGGGGTTGACAGGGTTGGGCGCGCGCGGTGAAGAGTTGGGGGTGGAAGGTAGCGGGAGAGTTGAACACGGGAGGGAACACAGACTCGACAGTGTTGAAAGATGGGGTACGGCCGAAAGGTCTGTTTTCTTCTTCATCTTCCTGGTCGCAAGTTTCGGAACCCAGTGATATCCCTCCCGATACAGTGACTCCTGATGACAAGTCAGACACATCCCAACTCTTTGATCACCCACTTTTTAGCGTTTGCTGAAACTGACAATTTGAATTTGCTGAAAGTGCTTTTTACTTGTAGTTATATAGACGCTGCACCACCCCTCGAGGAGGCTATGGCCGTCGATGTTAGTTGCGAACTCTTTGCCTTCATATGAAACTTCATTCAACTCATTGCAAGTCCGATTAACAGAAAGTTCAACGTGCTGCAAGAGATCAGGTCGTATGAGTTTGTTTCTGTCGCGAGTGCAAACTAGAAGCAGTATTCATTCACATCTCGTAGATAAGACGTCGTCATACTAACCGATTGCTAAAATCATCTTATCGAGATGGTCGTGGTGAGCGGCATGCGCGTAGCAGCGTCTTACATGTACTGCAATCTCTATCAGCGTCTGGCCAACACACGAAAAGAGGAAGCGACTTACCCAAGCAACCTTGTTAGACTTCGGGTGGTCCTCGAATCGCTTCGACACACGGGTAGCATTAAAGGTCATCTGCTCAACCTTGGAGCCAGAAGTGGTCGAAGACATGGCCGCATTGTCAGAGTCTTCGTCATCGATGACAAGCCTGACCTTCTCGGCGACAATGTGGGCGTAGTAGGCGACAGGAACCATCTGTGTAGACGTCAGCGCCATACAACGTGCAAAGGGAAAGATGTACAGAGACAGATCGAGTGGCTCGGGCAAACGAGTAACAGAGAGTGTTGACAAGGCCCTGGAGCTTGTCCGCAGTGTACTTGTTTTCGTCTGCAACAACGACGCTGAAAGAAGTCAGCGAGTCGCCTCGGGCGGTAAGAAACAACTCACTAGTGAGTGGGTCGGGCAGTACCCTGAAGACCGGCGTGGGCCTGCAAGTAAAAGTCGTGGATATCCGAGGTGTAGTAGTAAATGGATCCCAGGTTGACATCTCCAATTTCTACTTCGTCCTCTACTTCGTCGGTCTCTTCACGTCGTATGAGGGCGTGGGCTTTTCCTTTTGGCCTTCCTTCTCCGTCTTTTCCAGCATCTCCCTCTTTCCCATCGTCCATCCTTGGTCGGTCCTTCGCAAGCGAACGGCAGTAGCTCACTTTATGACCAGGCTTTTGGCAGTAGTAGCAGACGCCTCGGAATGGCTGGGTGTTGTGATCCCATGTCTTCCCTGCCACCTGAGATGAACCACCATTTCTCGCTCCTTTCTCCTGTCCCTGGTCTCTCCCATGGGTCATGGCCACGACTCCTTCATGCGTGCCCATGGCTTCGGACTCTTCCGCAGATCGCAGGGCTTGGCACCAGAGGGAGTCAAGTTTGTCCCACGTCTGGGACGTGGCTGGGAGGCTTTCGAAGGTTGCGCGATAGAAGGCAAAGTCGCCGGTGCGCGGCCAAGAGTGTTTGAAATACCTGGTCTTCTCGGTGTCGGAGGCCTCGTGCCCATGGCGGACGCTCTTCGCGTAGAGGTTGTCGAACGTGGTGCGATGGGAGATCATGTCATCCACAGAGGGGTCCTTGATTCCGATGGACCTCTGCCGGTTATCCCGCCGTCCAGATCGACACTGCTTACTCTGCCTTTGTCGAGCCCGGCATGCTCACCGTGAGTACCTTGTACAATTCTTGGCGGTGTCTGACGAGATCGTAGGACGTTGTCCCCAAGCTTCTCGGTTTTGCCGGTGGCGGTGGCCGTGGTGGTCGAGGCGGCCGAGGTGGCTTCGTAGGCGGTCCTCCCCCTGGTGCTGCTCGTTCCCTCCAGGTACTCGACCCTCCTCAGACCACGCGTCTTAATGACATTCTCCGAGGCGCCAAGTTCACTGTCACCCATCAAAACACTGAGCGAGTGTTTGTCATCATCAAGCTCACCGTCAAGGCCGCCGACGAAATCAAGTTCACTCTCAACGGCAAGGACGGTCAGCCCGACCGAACCGTCTCCGTTGCGCAGTACTTCCAAGAGCAGTACAATGTCCGCGTTACCCGCCCTCGTCTCCCTTGCGTTCAGTACGGCAAGAATTGTAGAGGACGGCACCGTTGGAGAGAGGGGTGGGGTCCTCTGCAGAAGAGTCAGCACTATAAAGAGCGTATAACGATGAAGGCTCGCTATCTGTTCACTTTATGAAGCACTGCATAGCGTTGGGATTATTCATGGAGACATCAAACGCCGCCACATCCGTCAGCGTG